GACTAGTGGATTGGACATGCCATCAATCGTTTCACACGGTGCTGTTGTAGCGGCTGTAGAAGCTTGTGTCGGGACTGTCGTAGCTGTAACTCCTGTAGTCACTGTTGTCAATTGTGTTCCCGTTGCTGCTGTCGTAGTTGCTGGAGCAGTCACTGTAACACAACGAGAACAATAAGGACGTCGTAAGACGCAATAATTTAGTCTACCTGGATATCGTTTCCTAATGTGTATGCAGTTCCAGGATATTTACTCGATGAATAGGATTGTGTGGCAATCGATGAATATATGCGTCAGCCAACTACCGCTCTTGTACCAACAATCATTACTACCTGGCAAGAAGAAACAAGCAATGATCTGCAGTGTCATGTTCAGTTGTTGAGGGGCCTCCGTCGTCAATGCTGCTGGAACTACAGTTGTTCCAGCGCCAGTTGTTGTTGTTCCCGTTGTTACACCGGTAGGTGGAGCCACGGTTGTGACCATTGTTAGAGTCATTGGATAAACGCGAATGCTCTGTGCTGTTATTGGTAGAGCTAACACCGTATCCTTGTTGAAAACCTGCATTATAGAGACATGGTTTTATTACTTTGTTAATGACATTCGTGAATATAGCTTGGTAATTGGATGTACTAATCTACCTTCTTCTTTATGTACACATTTATGATATAAAATGCCCATACATACAATGGCGCTGGAATTATTCCTGGGATACTTACGATGGGATATTCTGTCCACACATCACCATCAGGCGAGTATGCCACCATAAATGTTTCTACGTTGCCGTCAACGTTGATCTCGTCAACTGGTATTGGACTGTCTGCTAAGTCAACCTGTACATAGGTGACACCTGGTTCGAAGTCTGATGGAGTCCATCCTCCGGCTAGTGACATTCGACCGACCAAACACAAGCTTCTACAGCCGCTACAACAGCACCGTGTGAAACGATTGATGGCATGTCCAATCCACTAGTCCTAACTGATGAGCAAATCAAAGATAACAATAACGACTCTAGGAGTTACAGCTACGACAGTCCCGGGTAGAAGGTAAAGTTGTTGTTCCAGTAACGCCCGTAGTAGGCACGGCAGTTGTTGTAGTAACTCCTGTTGATGGCACGGTAATTGTACCAGTAACTGTTGTAGGTGGCGCTGTTGTGGTTGGAAAAACTGCAGTTGGTCCAGCGATAGTTGGCTGCGCTGCTGTTGCTGTTGTTGTTGCTCCTGTAGTCACTGTTGTCAGTTGTGTTCCCATTGCTGCTGTCGTAGTTGCTGGAGGGCAGTCCCCACTGTCAACACAACGAGAAGCATAAGGACGTCGCTAGCCAATAGTTTAGTCTACCTGATATCGTTTCCTAATGTGTATGGCAGTTCCACTGATATCACTCGATGAATGGGATTCGTGGTGTGCAATCGATAATATATGGCGTCCCGGCCAACTACCGCCTTGTACCAACATCATTCGCGACCTGGCAAGAAAGAAACAAGCGATGATCTGCAAGTGTCATGTGTAGTTGTGAGGGGCCTCGCGTCGTCAATGCGCTGAACGACAGTTGTTCACAGCGCCAGTGTAGATGTTGTGTCCCAGTTGAACACGCGGTAGGTGGGAGCGAACAGGAGTTGTGACGGCATTGTTAGAGTCATTGATAAACCAATCGGCTCTGTGCTGTATCTGGTAGAGCTTAACACCCCCCGTTTAAAAAAACAAAAATTCCTTGTTGAAAACCTGCATTCTAACAGACAGGTTTTATTACTTTGCTTAATGACATTCGTGAATATAGCTGTACTTGGATGTATAATCTACGCTGCTTCTTTAGTACCAATTTATGCATATAAAAATGTCTATACATCCACATGGCACTGCATTATCCTGGATACTTACGATGGGATATTCTGTCCACCCATCACCATCAGCGAGTATGCCACCATAAATGTTCTACGTTGCGTCAAACCATTGATCTCGTCAACTGGTATTGGACGTCTGCTAATCAACCCTGTACCATAGGTGACACCATGGTTCGAAGTCCTGATGGAGCCATGCCCGTTGGTACCGAATGTCCTAGCAGAATCGTTATTGTTATCATTTGTGATTTGCTCGCATGCAGTTAGGACTAGTGGCTTGACCATGCATCACATCGTTTTCACACGGTGCTGTTGTAGCGGCTGTAGAAGCTTGTGTCGGGACTGTCGTAGCTGTAAACTCTGATCACTGTTCAATGTGTTCCCGTTTGCTGCTGTCGTAGTGCTGCGCAGTCACTGTAACTCCAACGAGAAAATAAGGACGTCGTAAGACGCAATAATTTAGTCTAGGCCTATGATATCGTTTCCTACTGTGTAGCAGTTTCCATGATATTCAGGCTCGATGAATGGGATTGTGTGGCAATCGCTGAATATATCGCCCAGGCAACTACACGCTCTTTTTGACGCAACAATCCCTTACTACCTGGCAAAGAAGAAACAAGCCGATGATCGCAGTGTCATGTTTAGGTGTGAGGCTCCGTAAGCACACTGTGCTGCCTACAGTTGTTCCAGCGCCAGTTGTTGTGTTCGCGGCGTTGTTACCCCGGTAGGTGAGCCATCGGTTGTGACCAGTGTTACAGTCATTGGATAACGCGAATGCTCTGTGCTGTTATTGGTAGAGCTCCGTATCCTGTTGAAAACCCTGCATAATAGAGACTGGTTTTCTTACTGTTAATGACATTCGTGAATATAGCTGGTATTGGATTTCGCTAATCCTACCTGCTTCTTTAAGTACGACATTTATTGCATATAAAAGTCTATACATACAATGGCCCTGGAATATTCCTGAATACTTACGATGGATATTCGTCACACATCACCAATCAGCGAGTATGCACCCATACTGTTCTACGTTGCGCAACATTGATCCGTCAACTGGTATTGGACTGTCTGCTAAGTCAACCTGTACATAGGTGACACCTGGTTCGAAGTCTGATGAGTCCATCCTCCGTGGTCGGTCGAATGTCACTAGCAGAATCGTTATTGTTTATCTTTGATTGCTCATCAGTTAGGACTAGTGGATTGACTGCATCCAATCGTTTCACACGGTGCTGTTGTAGCGGCTGTAGAAGCTTGTGTCGGGACTGTCGTAGCTGTAACTCCTGTAGTCACTGTTGTCAATTGTGTTCCCGTTGCTGCTGTCGTAGTTCTGCGCCGCAGTACTGGTACACAACGAAGAACAAAAGGACGTCGTAAGACGCAATTGAATTTAGTCTACCTGGAGTATTCGTTTCCCTACTGCTGTATGCATTCCATGATATCTCAAGCTCGATGAAATGGGATTGTGTGGCTATCGATGAATCTATGCGTCAGGCACTACCGAGCTCTCCTGTACCGAACAATCATTACTAGCCGTGGCAAGAGAAACCTAAGCTAAGATCCTGCACTGTCATGTTTCAGGTTTGTTTGAAGCGTGGGCCTCCGTCGTCATGCTGCTGACACCCGGACAGTTGTTGCCAGCGCGCAGTGATTGGTTGTTCGCCGTTGTTACATCAGCCGGTAGGTGAGCCACGTCTGTGATCCATTAGATATAGAGTCATTGATAAACGCGAACTGCTCTGTGCTGTTATTG